GGGGAAGGGGGGGGGGGGGGTGTAGCAGCAGGAGAAATGGGGATAATTAGAGAGAAAATGCAGGAGGAGGAGGAGGAGAGGAAGGTGGAGGGGAAACAGTAGGGAAGTGAATGAACGTGGTGGGGCTGTGTGATGGGGGGGGGGGGGGGTGGGGGAAGAGAGAGAGGGAGAGGGGAAGAAGGAAAAAAAGAAGCCACAAAGACGTACCGATTTCATTGCTGCTGCCATATCATCGTACCGTTCGGCTTGCTCAGCCAGGCGGGCTTTCTGCACTAACTGCTCGCGATCTACCATGTTGTCTGGGCTGGATTCAGTAACCGCGAACCAATGCTACGGTATCTATAGGGTTGCTTTATTGCTCCTCCTGCAGCCGCAGCCAGTACCCTGCCTGTGTCTCACACACACTCTCTCTCTCTCGCCAGCAGGACAACCCCTCACCCTTGTCCCAACATTCCGCGCTGACGTCATTGCCCATATATAGGCACCGCCCGGCGCTGACGTCACGGGCCGGCCCCCCGGAATTCCACATTTGGATACAGTGTCGCGGCGCCGCGCTCTGCCCATTGGCTGGCCGCAGTTGCAATTTCCTGCCTCCGCCCGGCTCTCCGAAACTACATTTCCCGAGCGCCAAGAATTGTGCACTTTGCCCGATCCCGAGCCGACTCGGACGGTCTGTGAGGTTAGAAGCAGTCTCCACCCAGTCTCAGGGTGTGGGTTCGTGTGTTAAACTTATCGCTGTGACTCAGAGACGACTCAGGGCTGACGAATCTGGGAGCGGAATGGGCCGCTTAAGGAAGAAAGGACGTGCATTTCATGTAACGTCTTTGCCTGAGCTCAGGGCTTTCCAACTCTCGATAATGCTTGTCGAAATGAAGTTGCTACTTGTGATTTTTTTATTTGATTTAAAGAAAACTGCTTTGCGAGGTTCCTCAACAGCATTAAATCACCGGGTAATCTTGGGATCGTTGAGCAAATGGCTTCGCTTTGAAATAGAGCCACAGGATCATTTTAGATCCACTTGAGAGGCCGAACAAGGCCCTGGTTTCATGTCCCACGCGTAAGACAGGACCTTGTGAAGGTGTAGTTTTCCGTCAGCACAGCCGAGATTTTTTTCTTTTCCCAAATATGTTTATTTTCTTTTGATTATGTGTTGTAATCTTCGGGGTGTCAAATTCCCACAACCTCCCGACTCAGAGACAAGCTTATTAACCATTGGCTCACAACTGCTAGTTTTCCGAGATTCATAGAGCTGTACAGCACAGAAACAGACCCTGTGGTCCAACTTGTCCATGGTGACCGGATATCCTAAATTAATCTAAATGTTTTAATTGTCCCAGCCTCCTCCACCACCTCCTCTGGCAGTCCATCCCATATACGCACCACCCTTTCTGTGAAAAAAAAATTGCCCCTTAGGTCCCGTTTAAATCTTTCCCCTCTCACTTTAAACCTATCATTTCTAGTTTTGAACTTCCCTACCTTTGGGAAAAGACCTTATCCATTCCCCCTATCCATGCCCTTTATAATTTTATAAACTTTTATAAGGTCACCCCTCAGCCGCTGACACTCCAGGGAAAATAGCCCCAGCCTATTCAGCTTCTGCCTGTAGCTCAAACCCTCCAACCCTTGCAACATCCTTATAAAAATTCTATGTTTCACAACATCTTTCCTACAGCAGGGAGACAGGAATTGAACACAGTATTCCAAAAGTGGCCTAAGCAATGTCCTGAGCAGCTGCAAAGTTACCTCCCAACTCTTATACTCAATACACAGTAGTTGAAGAGATACTGGACCATGATTTGGATAGAAATACTGTGCAAGGGTATGGGGGAACAGCAGGAGATTGGCATTATGTAATGATGCTCATTTGAAGAGCTGGGGTGGGCATGATGGGGCAAATGGCCTCCTGCCCCATAACAAATTCTATGATTCTGTAAGAAATAGTAAGAGCTGCTGATGCTGGAGTCAGAGATAACACAGTGTGGAGTTGGAGGAACACAGCAGGCCAGGCAACATCAGCAGAGCAGGAACATTAACATTTCCAGTCCAGACCTTTCTACAGAAATTGGGGATAGGGGAAGGGAGCTCAGAAATAAATAGGGGAGGGGAGGGGTGGGGCTGGGGAAGGTAGGTGGGATGGTGATAGGTGAGTGCAGGTAGGCAGTGATGGGGATTGGTCAGTGAGGTGGGAGGAGTGGATAGGTGGGAGAGAAGATGGACAGGTTGTGTCAGGTCAAGGAGGTGGGGATGAGAGGAAGGGTTGGTCATGGGATGAGGCCTGGGGTGGGGAGATTTTGCAACTGGTAAAGCCCACATTGAGACCATTGGGTTGTAGGCTCCCAAGGTGGAATATGAGGTGCTGCTCCTCCAGTTTCTGAAGGAAGCCCAGGATGGACATGTCACCCAGGGAGTGGGAGGGAGAGTTGAAGTGGTTTGCAACTGGAAGGTGTTGCTGTTTGTCGCGAACAGAGCACAGGTGCTCTATAAAGTGGTCTGTGAGCCTCCAGTTGGTCTCACTGATGTAGAGGAGGCCACAACGGGAGCAGCAGATACAATAGACCACATTGACGGATGTGCAGGTGAACCTCTGTCTGATGTGGAAGGTTTCTTTGATTCTTTGGATGGAGGTGAGGAGGGTGGGGGAGGTGTAGGGGCGGGTGTTGCACTTCCTGCAGTTGTAGGGAAAGGTGGTGGGGCTAGTGGGGAGTGTGGAGCGGACGAGGGAGTCGCGTTGAGAGAGCAGTCCCTACGGAAGGCAGTTAGGGTGGGGAGGGAAATGTATCTTTGGTTGTGGGATCGGATTGCAGGTGGTGGAAGTGGGGGAGAATGATATGTTGGATGCGAAAGTTAATGGGGTGATATGTGAGGACAAGGGGAATTCTGTCTTTGCTTTTGTTGGGGGGATGGAATGTAAGGGCTGAGGTGTGGGAAACACAAGAAATGCAATCAAGAGTATTTTTGACCACCAAAGGGGGGGGAGTTGCGGTCCTTGAAAAATGAACACATCTGGGATGTTTGGGCGTGGAACGCCTCACCTTGGGAGCAGACACAGCGGAGGCAGAGGAATTGGGAGTAGGGGATTGCATTCTTGCAGGAAGGTGGGTGAGAGGAGGTGTAGTCTAGGTAGCTGTGGGAGTCGGTGGGCTTGAAATAGATGTCAGCTTTGAGGTGGTCACCAGAGGTGGAGACAGAGAGGTCCAGGAAGGACAGAGAGGTATCAGAGATGGTTCAGGTGAACTTGAGGTTGGGGTGGAAGGTGTTAGTAAAGTTGATGAACTGTGAGTTATTTGCAAGAGGGTTGATATGCAATTTCCATTGAACATGAAGATCATTTAGAAATGATTACATCAGATTTGAGTATTGCTTAAAAAGGAATCCATCTTGTTGAATAATTTCAGCTTGCACTCATCAGGACATTCCATAAGAGTACCACTTCAAGGACGAATCCAACATTTATACATCAGTGAGTGTACGTGTTCTTGTTGTCTGCAAAGAATAAGGCCCTATGTATTAATTTATGAATCATCCAGCAAATGTCAAATTGCAGAATCACCTTTAATGTTAGATACAGTGTTGCGAGTTTTGAATGCACATCAAATTACACTAACAATCAATTTAGGATTGTCAGTCAGGCTTACAGTCTGCTACACATGGGTGTGTTGGAGGCTACAGGGCTCTGATCTTTGTAGACAGAACATAAGGAGCTGATGTAGGCCATTCAGCCCATCGAGTCTGCTTTGCCATTCAATGAGATCCGGTTTTTCTGATAATCCTCATTCCACTTTCATGCCTTTTTCCCCGTAATCATCGATTCCCTTACTGACTAAAAGTCTGTCTATATCATCTTTGAATATACTTAACGACCCAGCATCTACAGCCCTCTGTCCTACAGGATTCTATACACTCACTACGCTTGGAGAGAAGAAATTCTTCCTCCTGTCTTAAATGGGTGGCCTCTTATTCTGAGATGATGCCATCTAGGTTCTCCTACAAGGGGAAACGATCTTTCCACATCACCCTGTCAAGTCCTTTAAAAATCTTGTAGTTTCCTCTATATTCCAATGAGCAAAGGCCCAATCTACTCAAACTCTCATAAGACTGTCCCTCCATACCTGGGGTCAGGCTAGTGAATTTTCCCTGGACTGACTCCAATGCCAATATATCTTTCCTTGAATAAGGGGCCAAAACTGTTCACTGTACTCCAGCTGTGGTCGGTCTAGTAACTTGTATAGTTTTAGCAAAACCTCCCTACTTTTATACAGCACTCCCTTTGAAACAACGCTCAACATCTATTTGCATTTCCTATTACCCGCTGAACTTGTGTGTTAGCTTTTTGTGATTCATGCATGAGCTCTCTCAAACCCCTCTGTTCTTTTGTATTCAGCAGTCTTTCTGCATTTAAATGACGCTCAGTTCTTCTATTCTTCCTGCCAAAGGGCATAAGGTCACATTTCCCCACATTACATTCCCTCTGCCAAGTTTTTGACCACTCGCTTGACCTGTCTATAACCCTGTGCAGATTCTTTGTGTCATCCCTACCATGTGCTTTCCCACCTACTTTTGTATCATCTGCAAACTCAGTGATAGTACGTTCACGTTCCTCAGCCAAGTCATTAACATATGTTGTACATCATTGTGGCCCCAGCACTGATACCTGTAGCGCACCACTAGCTACAGATTGCCATTCTGAAATTGTTCCCCTTTATCCCAATTCTCTGGCTTCTATTAGTTAGCCAATCCTCTATCCATGTTAATGTGCTTTCTCCAACATGGCAGGCTTATAAAGTAGCCAAAAGTGTGGTTCCTTAATCAATCACTTTCTGAAGATCAAAATGTATTACATCCACTGCTCCCCCTTTGTTTATTCTGTTTGTTACTCCTCAAAGAATTCCAGTAAGCCCATTAGGCATGATTTCCCCTTCATGAAGCCTTGCTGACTCTGCCTGCTCATCAGATATATTTCTAAATGCTTTTACATCCTTTCTAATATACTGTTATTGTTTTCTAATAACATGTACATTCAATGCACCTGTTTCAACTCCATAAAATAAATTTTATAGCCATTTGTCGGTTCATTTCTCAGGGGAATGCCCTGATCAATCAGAGTCAACCTGCCTGGTTTAAAATTTAAACAAAGCTGTTCATTGGCTTTCAATCAGCATTAATGGATGATTTCTCCATGGCAGTGTTGGCTTTCCCCTTGAATTGGTATTCTTGTGCAATGTGCTGATGAATGCAAGGTGAAGACTGTCAACAAAATGTGTCTTTTTTTGGGCAATACTCAAGTTCTGTACCAGCAAACAACTACTTTAGTCAGATTTCTTGAATGGTAAAAGATAGAGTTGATCAGATCTTAATTATAATAACTGCACTGACTTAAAAGTCTGATTCCAATTGCAATTAAAGGGAAGGTTTAAAATGTCCAGTGAAGAGGGTTAAATAAATCTCATGGACTCCTCAGATTTTGTTAACCATTTACTG